AACTGTTTCTGGACAGAGGTGCCTTGGGCAGGTTCAGGCTGACTTTTAAACTCTTCATCAGAGCTGCCGCTAAGGAGGACTTCGTCGTCAGCCACGCTCACGAGGTCAAGTCTCGTATCGGTCGGGGCTGGGACGGCTGAGGCGACATCCGTGTCGTCTGCGATTGCTTGGCCGGGAGGTTGATCGAGAGGCCTTTGCTCACCCATGTGTGCTGGATTTTTTGGTTTGGCAGGAGAGTTACCCTGCTTCTCCACCAATTTTGTGATGGTCGTAGGGGTTAGACGCACAAAAGTTACGAAGGTCCGGAGGTTCGGACTTCAGGGCCGGATACTCTCGGCTTGGCCAAGAAGAACACAGCAAGAAAGGAGTAGATCCAATGTTAGGCAAATGTAAAAGTGAACTATCTAAAAACTAGCTAAGGCTGACGACCTATGGGGAAAGGTCCTGTAGAATAAAAGGCAAGACGGTCAAATTCGAAGGTAGTCGGCCCGTCGAATAATATACCTTTGCGATGGTAATACCACGATGTAGTATAGTAGTACAAGCCCATGCTCCAGCTCCGTCAGACTTTCTTCGATTCTTCAGTCCCACAGTCACAGGCACCTTGTCGGGAAACACGGCATTGAACGTCCGGAAGAGGGCGACATCGAAAGGATGCAGCAAGTGCATTGCGTTTGGTGGGAGTCGAACTAGGTATATCCCATACACCGAGCATCGGACGTGGGTGGTATGCACGCATTTCGAAGCGAGCATCTTCATGTACTCGTATATCGATATACACATCACAGGCGATGTCACAGTTCCGGATACAAGTTCCGGATCCACGTGGCTGTACCACGCCACACAGATTGAAGACAAAGTCTGACCCAAACCCACGAGCGGCCAACGACGCTGCTACGTGCCAAGGAAACAGCAAAGGGTCGCCACCCCTTTGCTTCGGACCACCCCCGGCCCTTTATGTTTACCAGCCCAAGATGACTGGTCCTGCTTAGCTTAGCCGTAGCGTTAGATTGCTATAACGCTATCAATTCACTTCTCAATTTACCAACTACTGCGCCTTCCTCTGCGCACGCACGCTTACACCTGGTAGTATTCCACTTTCGTCCACGGTCTATGTCTTCTTCCTCCACCCCCATTACGCCAGCGCATCAACTGGTCCTCGACCGCATGTACCTGGTGTTCGGCGAACAAGACACCGCGACCCTTCTCGGCGGTCTCTCCACCGAGAACCAAACTCGTCTGGTGGAGGTCATCGGTCGACTTATCGACCAAGCCGTAAGGATGCCGTAACCCCCCTGACTGCACTTTTCGCCGCTCTCAAAAGCCAGCTGTCCACCATGGCAGCCCTTGGTCGTACCTTTGAAGAGTCACGCGCACGCAGCGCGAGTGAAGTCGAGCGCTTAACGTACGAGCTCCATATCTCCGAACAACAAATCCCTCTCGGCTGAAGCCGATCAAGCTCGAGGTCACGAAATTCGGTGGTGCAGAGTCCGTCAAACTCCTCCGCTGGATCCTCCAAGTTCAGACCGCTGCGAACGCGCAGCGCATCCTGGATGACGACACTCGAGTCGCATTGGCGATGTCGCACTTGAGAGCCGTGAAACCCCGAAACCCCGAAACCCCAGACTGGGCGTTTTCCAAGCGCCTCGCGGACCCTTTGTGCTTCTCCCCCCCCTGGACGACTTCATGCACGAAATGAAGTCCACGTCCCTGCCCCCCAATAGCAACTTTTGCTATCGCACCAAGTTTCTCGAATGCAAACAAGAAAGCGTTCCCTCCAAGAGTACATTCACGACCTCGTTCACGACCTCGAACTTCTGTCGATAAAGTACGCCTTCACCAAATTCCGCATCTACCTCCTTGGTAGCAAACCCTTCGTGATCTATACGGATCACGCCTCCCTCCGCACGGCGACCAACTCGCCGCACCTCTCGCAGCGAATGGAATGATGGCTTTCGTTCTTTGCTGAGTTTACCTTCACCGTCCAATACAAACCGGGTAAGGACAACATCCTTGATGACACCCTCTCTCGGATCCCCGACCTCGCCCTTAACACTATCGGGTTGCTCCATTCCGACCTCCAAAACCGCATCCGCGCGGTTTACGCCTTGGATCCCTCATGTTCTGCGCTTTTGTCAGCATTAACGGCGCCTGCTTGTTCAAAGCCAAGCGGTTCCGTGTCATTACTCCATCGCTATTTCATCCGCGATGGTCTCTTTTATTTTACCCCATCTCGCGGCGACGAACCTCGCATCGTCGTACCAAGCGACGCGCCATTACGCGCCGCGATTCTCCGGTCCTTCCACGACTCTCCCAGCGATGGCCTTTCGGCCGCGACAAGATGTTCCACGCGGTCGCGCGTTCATACTGGTGGCCGCGTCTCTATAAATCCATGGTTCACTACGTCGCTCGATGCGACGCCTGTCAACGCACCAAGATCAGCGCGGACTCCAAAGTATTCGCATACAACGCCTCCGTTCAGGCGTCCACCGGATTCTCGCCCCATTATGCGGTCCACTTGCAGCACCCCCGGCTGCCTCAACTCTTAGATAATCCCCGCTTGAGTGGGGGCGGGATCCAAATCAACGCCCCCAATGCCCCGATCCGGACTATACAAGATGTAAAGTCCTTCGTCTCCAAGCGCCAATCTGTCATGCAACAGATCAAGGACAACCTAGCCGCCGCCCAACAGCAACAGCCTACCCAAGCCGATAGGCGCAGCCGTTGCGACTTTCCAAGTCGCTGACCAAGTCCTCCTTCACAAGTCCGCTATCCCCTACCCATGCATTCCACGACAGCGGTCAACACAACATCAAGCTGCGAAGCGCATGACACGGCCCCTTTGCCGTCAAGAAAGTTGTCAGCCCGACTACATACTGTACAACCTCGACCTGCCACCAGCTTGACAGATCCACCCAACCATCTATGTAGGAAAACACAAATTATACCTTACACCTACAACTACCAACGGTGCAACGACGGAAGGCGGTCACTTGGACTCCGCGCGGCTCATTCCCGAAGTCCTCCTCGGACTCCTCTGTCACTTGCCCATCCTCGGCCGATGACACTGGCTCTTGCTTCCATTCCCACTTCACCGGCGCGACTCTCGAAGTCCCACAGTACCCCGCGTCCGGCAGCCCGGCCGCCTCCCCTCGGGTCCACATACCATGGACTGCGGCACTCAAGCCCCTCAACACGCTTCGACACGTGAGTCGACTCTGCCGCCGGAGCCGGTATCGACCCCATCGCACACCCCGGCAGTGCTTGGCGCACGTTAGGCGCCTGGAGGCTGCCAGTACTTGGTCCAAGACGGGCCATCTACAACATGGAGATCAGACGCAGAGACAAAAGCGTCCTTACCTCAAGAGCGCACCGCATTCGAACGCGGACTGCGAGCCGGAGACAATTTCGACGGGCACCCGCCCGCTCGCAGCTCGAACCAAGGCGAAATTAGTCATCCTTTTCGTCAACAGCCCCACATTGTACGCCAAAGGCCCAGCTGCCGCTGCCCACCTCGCTCTCGTTTCAACAACACCAAGACAAACACAATGATGTATTCAAACATCGTTTCGTTTTGGTACCGTACGACCCGCGGCGCGTCGTAGCTCCAGTCCACAAATTCCGCCAATGGAATTTCCAAAATCGTCATGTGCCCCATGGCACACAACAGCCACATCACCTGGGTCTCGAACAACCCATTTCGACAAAACAGAGTATATCGCTCCACCCCAAATCCTGCAGCCGCGAGTCGAGCTGCTGCAGTGAGATATCGCTCCACCCCAAATTCTGCAGCCGCGAGTCCAGCTGCTGCAACACTCGCAAACGGTGCGTTCTGCCGTTGATGTAGTCCAAGCAGACTCCAAGGACGGAATGGGTACACTCGAACTGTCACAGCTATCCTTTCAATTCCTGTTTCTACTGTGGCTCGCCTGAACACCGCCTTCCTTACTGACGCACCATGCGCGATGATGACAGTCGAAACCGCATTCGTGCCGGCGTTCACAAGCACGTTGTTGACACACACTGCCGTCGGAAACGTGCATCGTCTCGCAAGATCATTGACGATCATACGCAGCATCATCGCCGCGACCGCGACGACTACGACGACAACTTGTGAGGTAGCCCGAGTGTGGGCGTTAGGCGTAGAGGAAGATGGAGGACCTGGCGTTGGAGCTGAGGTAGGCGGAATAGATGCCTTGGTAGTTGAGGGTTGAGAGGCGGTAGTGGGAAGGCGTTGTCGTTTCGCAGGCGGTGCTGATGTGGAGCGCCGGAGGAAGGCGGAAGAAGGATGAAAGGTTTGGGACGTGTTCCATCCAGCAGATGGACGTGATGGAGAAGCGCGACGTTTAGGAGGTGATGAACGAGCACGACGGGTGGCTGACGAAAGGCGAGGATAGGCGGAGGATGGAGGGGATATGGGACGGCTACAACTTGAGTTTGGGTGGGTGGTAAATGATGGGGTAGAAAGGCGTTGATGATCTCGAGAGGAGCGGCCGGAGGAACGACCTCGCTGCGAGAAACGTGGAGGTGATCGATGAGTAGAAGTTCGGGGAGGCGGTCGAGAGTCGTCACGATGGCGCTTGGGACAGCCGCTGTTGGGACCCTGATCGTTCCCCTCTTCCACTGTGGATGACTCTCTGCTACCCCCACTTCCCGCCTATCGTATTCATCCTCCGCGTACGCCTCCCAACTCTAACAAACTCACTACACGACCTCCCACGCCTGCCGATTACGTTGACCCGCCTGCACGACAGTTACCCGTACGCCTCAACCGTCGTGGTGGCGCCTACAGTGCACCTCCGCCTCCTCGTGCTGCGCGCCCTTATTACTCCTCCGATGAAGAAGACCGCTGGGGTCCAATTCATGACGTCGCCTACGGTCAAATGGCCAACATTACTGCCGACGCCTTTCACCAACTGACCTATGACAAGTGTGTCGCCTATCATCTTTTCAAGCACCAAACCGGTCTCCATCCCAAAGCGCGACCACCGCCTATCCCACTCATCAAGACAACCTCCAACTCAAAGACTACCAAGCCAACCCTACGCCTCCCACAATGAACACCCATTTTCCCTTCTACGTTGGAACCTCCTGGGACACGGTCTGCCTGAAGGTGTATTTCCCCAATCACACTAACCCATTTCCCTTGGAACCTTCACTCTATCCCCAGCTCTCCAACGAATGGATCATCGACTCTGGCTCTCCAACGAATGGATCATCGACTCTGGTGCCACCGCCTCCTGCACGCCTCACCGTCGCTATTTATTGACTCCGCCTTTGTCTAAAAATCATTTACTCTTGCTGTGGGCGATGATGGCAAACTTCCTGTTCTCGGCTACGGACCGATCGATCTCGGCGTTACCACCCACTCTGGCGAAACCTCGGCCAATCTCACCGCCCATCATGAGCCTCTCTCTCTACCCTTTGCCCTACATTGCCCCGCCTTACAATTCAACCTTCTCTCTGTCCGTCACTCTGTTCAAGCAGGCTGCCACTTTGATTTCTCGCATCCATCGCATTGCCTCATGGACATCGGTCGTGGCCTATATTTGCGTGCTCAAGTTAACGCCTTGGGACTATATTCCTTTCCGGAACAGCCCTACACACGCCTAGCCAGCAACCCTTCGCCTCACCCTCCTGCTGCTGTTGCAGCCGCCATCATGGAATTTCAGGCTAACCTAGCTGCTCATCCTTCCCTTAGTGATGCGAATCCATTCCATATCAACTTCGCCACGCCTACTCCGTCCTCCATTTCTACGCTTGAGTCTACCGTACAAGCCGCGGCGCGCTCCGAAGTAATCGATCAATTGCACGCATTGTCCCTCACTTCCAACGTTGTCACCCCAAACCAGTTCACTCCCTTCTCTCCATCTACCAACAAACCTCTTCTATCTCCGCCTCCCCCTACAACTTCAACATCTACGACGCCTTCTCTCGCACTAGCTACTGCAACCACCTCAAACACACGCCTATCTAACGAAGCCCTCTTCCGTCTTTGGCACAACCGCCTCGGACACCCAAGCTCCAACGTTCTCAAAAGCCTCGTCAAGACCTACCCCGACTTCTCTACCGATCGCCCACGACTTTTCAAATCCTTCACTTGCGATACTTGTGAATTCGCCAAGTCCCATCGACACAGTTTTCCTCTGCAGCAGTTTTCCGTGCCTCATCCTTCTTCCTTCTCGTCCACACCGACATTTGGGACCCGTGCCCAGTGCCATCGATTGGTGGCAGCTTCTACTTCGTCGTGTTTATCGACGACTACTCCCGTTTTACCTGGGTCTACCCTCTCGCCTTCCGCAAGGACCTTTATGACGCCTACGAACTCTTTCGCCCCCAAGCCATCACAACCTGAAAGTCCGACATCAACACTCTCCAATACCTACCGCCTACTGACATTGGCAATCTACAAGCCGACAATGCCAAGGAATTCGAGAAACTTGGTCGCATCGGACCGAAGTACTCCACAAAGGCCACATTTTCAAACGTCTACTCGCCTGCTCAAAACGCCGTGGCCGAACGCCGCATTGGCTTAATCGTCATGAAAATACGAGCGCTTCTACTGGCCGGCAATCTCCCCAAGTTCCTGTGGGCCGAAGCCGTTATCCGCCTGGCTCTGTAACATCTCGCCTTCCACCTCGAATGACGGCCAGTCGCCTTACCATCGCGTTTTCTCCCGGCACCCACCCCTCTCCTACATCCGCACCTTCGGCTGCACCGCCTTTGTTCATATCCAAAAGACTCATCAAACAAACAAACTCGACGCGCGTGCCATCAAGTGTATGTTTGTGGGCCTACCAGATGAGCGCAAGGGCTACA